CCCCATGTTACCTATGCCTTAATGAAAAATTTGAAATTATTAGATTTAAAAACAAGGCTGATCTCTTAAATCAAAGATATGAACTTACAGTTAATTGTAAACACCGTTATAAATTTAACTTAGTGTAGGGGTCGTATACTTTAAATGATAATGATATGTCGCTGTAATTTTAATAGATTAGTATTTTTATTGCATGATGGTCATACTTACGATATAAATGTATATTGTTTACCTGCATAGTGTTATTAGTGTTGGTATATATGTGTATATATTTATTTATGTGTTGGTTAGAGTATTTGCACTGAGGAATGTGTAGGTTTGAATATAACTGTATTTATATGTTTTATATATATATATATATATATATATATGTGTGTGTGTGGGGGTGTATATATGTGTGTGTGTATATATATATATATATATAATGTGGGAAGGTATGGTAGATTAGAAGAGAAAAGGTTAATAATTGTTGATGTATATGTGTATGTGTGTGCCTATATATGTATGTGTGTGTATGTGTGTGTGTATATATAGTATATGTGTGTGTGTATATATAAGTATATGTGTATATATGTGTATATGTATATATATATATATATGTATATATGTAAATATATATACATATGTATATATGTGTGTATATATATGTATGTATGTGTGTATATGTATGTATGTGTGTGTATGTGTATATATATATAAATATGTATATGTGTATGTATGATCACATCGCGGCGGTAAATTGTTGGCAAGCATGGTTCGCCCCCTAATTTCGGCTTTGTGCCACGATATATTTGTATATATATGTATGTGTATGTGTATGTGTGTATGTATGTGTATATATATATCGTGTGTGTATATATGTATATATCTGTATGTGTCCTATTTTATTGTGTATGTATATTTATATTTAAGTATATTTCTGTTTGTATGAATGTGTTTATATATTTGTATGTTAGGGTATATGTATATTGGTGTGTGTTGGTATTTGAATGTATATTTATGTATATATATGTTAGTACGTTTATATATGTATTTGGTTGAGTGTTGTTGTATTTTTATGTATGCATGTATATATTGGTAGTTGTTATTGTAGATAGATATATTTATATATATGTTTATTTATAGATATGTATGTATGTGTGTATATATATTTATGTATGTTTCTGGATGTATATGTGTGTGTTGGCACCTATTATGTATGAGTTTGTTTGTGTGTATGTGTGGGTATGGAAATTTTGGTATGTCATGACTGTTTTTATATATGTGAGTATGTGTGCATAAAATGTGTGTATATATATGTGTATTTATGTTTATATGTATATATGTGCGCATGTGTACTTGTTATCATAGATATGTATATGTGCGTATATGTTTATGTTTATATATTATTTGTATGTATTTCTGTAAGTATATGTATGTATGAGTGTATGTTTATGTGTGTTAATTTGTGTTTGCTGCCGCGTGTATATATATGTATCTGTGGGTTTCTTTATCCTGTTTTTCTTTGCCTAATATATAATGAAACTATTATCAACTTATATGATTAATATATATTTTTATTGATATTTATGGTTTTGGAATTTTCGTTTTAATATATTAAATAATATTATTTTTAACCATTTTTATCTTTGTATATTTGCTACCTTTAGTTATAATTTAATAAGTGGTTAGCATTTATTTAATGATACTTTAAGCCTGAAATATTTATTGGTTGTGGTATCTGATTGTCTATGTCATTGTCTGTGGATGTGTGTACGTGTATCTATCGGTGTCTATGTGTATGTAGAGTGTATTCACATTTAACTGTGTGTGTGTATAGGTGTTGGTTTCCCCGTTTCCTTTTTTCATAAAGGGCTGTAGAGATGTTCCTGTCTCGTCGCTTTTTTTTTTTTTTTTTTGTGTGTGTGTGTGTGTGTGTGTGTATCTAATTATGTCTGGGTGCTTATGTATTATAATCTGATTGTGTTTTTGTTGTTTTGCGCGTGAGTTTAAGACCACATTCACACACTTTAGAATAAAAAAATATATATACATGTATTGTCAAATGACCGGATATATTGTAGCGTCTTGTCGAACGTAATTTCAATGAAGAAATGAATTGAATAAACATATATATTTTTTCTTTTCCCAATAATTTTGTAGTTTTTAAACTTAATAGTGATTAAATTTGGATTTTAAAATTGCCAGTTTTTAATTTTAATATTAAATTTTATCATATAATTTTATAATTATTGGTTAGTATAAATTATTTTTAATATTACACGTATTTTAAAGATCTGAATAGCTATTATAACATGATTTCGTTGTCAAGCTTTTTTGAATCTTTCTATACTTGGTTTTTGATTGGTTATTCTAGCTTTTGTAACAATGTTTCCCCTAGTGTAGGATCGTTAATTAATCTGAAACTTTTAAAACCATTTATTTTATTTTCAACATCATCACTTGATAAGACACAGAGTGTGTTGAAACAAAATGACTATTTTTGTAGTGATTTTATAACATACTTATGTTATAATTTTTTAATAAATAATAATTATATATATATATATATATATATATATATATATATATATATATTCTATTCGTAACGTACTTGTTAACAGCACAAATATAATAGCATCATCTATAGACCAAAAAGGCTAAAAATAAAGAAAACCTTATTAATAAAAACAAAAAACTATACTCAATAATATCAACTATGAACATGAACACAATATCTTGACCGTATTTTGAAAATGAAAACATTATATAAATACATATAGACAACAATTTATTTCTTGTTAACAGTTAATATATTTCAACATTGAAAATGGCTGAATGTATAGCCGAAAGCGCTCGGATAAAAAGAACAATTGGGTAGTTTGTATATAATTTTTCATCCGAAAAGAAAAAAATATTAGATCACACGAGAAATTGTATAAAAAACTAAGTCAAATCACCTTGTCTGTCGTATTCAATGAAATGTGCATGAAAGAAGGATTGCTGTCTAAATACACACACACACACACACACACACACACACACACACACACACACACACACACACACAGACATATATATATATATATATATATATATATATATACAGCGAGAGAGAGAGAGAGAGCTCGATGGATAAATTATCATCTAAATTACGCAAATATTTGATAAAATTTGCTATATTTCTGATGGCTTTCCCATTATAAATATAGAAAATTTTATATTTTGTGCCCAATATCAGTGATAGAGCGTTTATAGATATAGACAGTGTAGCTATAGAAATCAACATTTCACGGGGTGTGTCCGTGATACACTGGTCCTGGTTATGACAATAAACTACTTCGGGCAGCATGGCCTCTGATCGGGAGATTGGAGCTTTTGAGGAACGTGGAACAACCTCTTAGGTGCTGTTGTTAACAGGTCCACATTGATCCTGAGTGGTAGCACCCGACTATGTGCAAATAGTAAACTCCAAACAAAAATAAAAAACTGAAATTATAAAAATACAAGTAATTCATTTTTATAATTCTTAATAAAGAAATTAAAAAAGTTTATTTTTGTTGAGTGAATCATTCACTGTATGAATTCTTGCTTTACAAGATCGCTCTACACATAGTATGTTTTTGTTTCATCGGCGTTTTTCTTACGATAGTGCTAGCTATAATCTTCCTCGTCCACAAATATTTTTTCACCAGTGTTTGATTTTCGGAACTTAGCCATATGTTCCAAATAAAAATATAATCTATAAAATCCAGAATCTATTAGATGTTTGTGGTTCGCACTGCTGGAGTGAACTGAAACTGTAAGTTTAATTTTCTCTTGCCTTTAAAAAGAAATGTTTCTTTTTTATATTTATGGTAACTATCTTTCTGCTTGTTTAGTGTAATTAAAGGTATTGGTGTGCTAATTTCTATATTAAACAACTATTTAAATTTTTTTCTTTCAAAATTTATGTTAACTACCTTTTTGCTTGTTTAGGATAATTTAAAGTTGGTTTGTAATTAGCAACAAGAAAAGAAAGTATGGTAACTTCAAAAAATTATCAGAGGTACGCAATTATCCAGGGATGTATTTGTCTAGGGACGCAAATAGCCAGGGACGCAACTGTCCTGGACGTAAATGTTCAGTTTGAAACTGTCCGTCCACCACCATTGCTCTGTCTTCTGAAGTATCTACAAAATTGCTTTTCCATAATAATTACCAACAATACATTTTTATTGTAAAATTACCGACAATAGATTTTACCTGTTGTTGAAGACATTCAATAGATTTCAAACTATATTTAGTTGAAGTCATAAAATTGTTCTAAATATTTTGATTTCGATATTGAATAACCCATAGAGGTATTGGTATGTCGCTAAACACAATCAACCAAACGATCCGTGACAAGCCTTAATGCTCTCTCCATATTTATAAGAGTAGTTCATGTCTTGTACAATTTCGTTTCAATTAAAAAAATATATATTCACACTCCCTTTTGTTGGCATCTGCAGAAATTCAAAACCTTACGGGAAGGTATGGAAATCAAGTAATGTAGCTGCATTTGGCCGACAGCATTTCCTGAAAAAGAAAAAGAAAAGTTGTCAGGCATCTCAAACACTTAAATCGTTATTATTTCTTCTTATAGAAAACCTCATCACATGTAGTCACCTTCATACTCCATTTTTGCATAGTTTTAATTTGAGACAAGCATTTTATAATACAACCCGAATATTCTAGCAAGATATTTTGGACATATGGCAATTTGTCATACAGGAATTGCAGGTTGCATGCGTCTCCGTCTTTGTGCAGAATTTTTTGTCGATTATTCCAAGTAATGGCTGATTAAATGGGATTGTTGCACAAGGAACATATTCGTGTGGTGCAAAAGACATAAGAGACGTTTCCGGTCATGCGCACAAGGCAACGATTATTCAAAGCGCAACTATATTTAGTCGCGAGCAAGTCTTGGCTGGCTTTTGTTAAATGAAGACAGAAATGCACATAAATTAAGGCATAAAATATTCAGTAATAAAGAATTCTTAGAACAATGAAAGAAAGCAAGCAGAAGTAAAGTAGAATGAAAGAGAAATATTGGAATCGTGAAGGAAAGAAAAAGGGAGAAAACGAATGAAATAATTATAGACTAGAAGAAGGAAAACGAAAAATGAATGAAAAAGAGACCTAAAATATGGAAGAAAAAAGTTGGAATTAGAATAGAATGAAATGGACAAAGACGAAAATTGAAAGAAAGAAAGAAAGCGTAATAAAAAAAGAATGAAAAGGAAGACAAGACGCTTGGAAGAAATAAAGAGAAAAAGGTGGAAGCAAGAAAGAAAGAACGAAAGAGAAAGAGAGGGAATGAGGAAAGGAAATAGAAAGAGAGTGGAAATAAAGAGAGAAATAAAGAAAGAAAGAAAGAAAGAAAGAAAGAAAGAAAGAAAGAAAGAAAGAATAAAAGAAGAAGCGATTAATGCCAACAAATAAATGAAAACATAAAGAACACAAAAAAGAAATAAAAATGCCAGCAGTGTATTGTTGGTAATTATTATGGAAAAGCAATTTTGTAGATACTTCAGAAGACAGAGCAATGGTGGTGGACGGACAGTTTCAAACTGAACATTTACGTCCAGGACAATTGCATCCCTGGATATTTGCGTCCCTAGACAAATACGTCCCTGGATAATTGCGTACGTCTGATAATTTTTTGAAGTTACCATACTTTCTTTTCTTGTTGCTAATTGCAAACCAACTTTAAATTATCCTAAACAAGCAAAAAGGTAGTTAACATAAATTTTGAAAGAAAAAAAATTTAAATAGTTGTTTAATATAGAAATTAGCACACCAATACCTTTAATTACGCTAAACAAGCAGAAAGATAGTTACCATAAATATAAAAAAGAAACATTTCTTTTTAAAGGCAAGAGAAAATTAAACTTACAGTTTCAGTTCACTCCAGCAGTGCGTACCACAAACATCTAATAGATTCTGGATTTTATAGATTATATTTTTATTTGGAACATATGGCTAAGTTCCGAAAATCTAACACTGGTGAAAAAATATTTGTGGACGAGGAAGATTAAAGCTAGCACTATCGTAAGAAAAACGCCGATGAAACAAAAACATACGATGTGTAGAGCGATCTTGTAAAGCAAGAATTCATACAGTAAATGATTCACTCAACAAAAATAAACTTTTAATTTCTTTATTTTATTCCTTTTTTAAAAAATTATGGTTACTACCTATGCTTTTTCAAAATTCATTGTAATTTCTTTTAAAAGATTAAAAAATCATCAGAGATACACAGTTATTCAGGGACGCATTTGTCTTGGGACGCAATTGTCCAGATACAGAATTGTCTGGTACGCTATTGTCCGGGGCACAAATGTCCAGTACGCAGCTGCCCTAAAATCATCAATGGTTTGGTATATCAATCGGCATGGACATGACCCCGTAATGATAATGGTAATGGCGAGAACAGCCGTTCGCTTATAAGGAAAGATTCGACATTCATTGACCGAACAGATATAGCGTTACAGTTTTTCAGGAAAATAGATTTTGGAAGTTTACTGTTATAGCTCTTCCTAATATTGGTAGAAATTTACTATCTAACCTTTTGTTTAAGATCGTGTAGAAAATCAACGTCTTGATTCTGTCATCATTTTCTCTTCGATTTGCATGTGCTATCCAATTTAATTGTTGCTGCTACTGGAAGTTCTCAAGTGATGTGCTTCCTGTTATTTGGTAATTATTTTGTGATTCTGTAGCTCAAGTCTACGAGATTTGACGAGGGCAGTCCTCTTCAAGACCCACAAGTTTCATTGACTTGGATCGATTTTTAATCATTGATTTCAAAAACCAGTAGGGAAAACCTAAATCACAGAATTTGAAACGTGGATAAAGAAAATTGGCATTTATTGCCCAGTAGAAGTGTTGCAGAAATGAAGCCTCTTTGGAACGGTAATAATAATCCGAAAAAGTGATGACCACTTAGAGTCAGAGGAATATTGCATTATACTTAAGCCTGCTCGTTGTAACCTACTATCCATGTATTAATTACCAGAGATTAAGAACGTTATCCGAGAAATACTGCTACTACTATTACTATTAATGATCAACAGAAAACGAAATCAAAGAAAGAACAAAGAAAAGAAAACTTTTTTGTTAGTCTCTTACAAAAATAGTTATTCTGTACATACAGCAGGTAACGATTTTCTTTTGCAAAGAATGAACAAAGCAAGTGTTCACTTTTTTCTCTCGAAAAAGACGAAAGAATAGATAAAAAGAAAGGAAGAAAGAGTGTAAAGCATAATAAAATGAAGAAGAAACGGTTTTCAATTTTTTCAAATAAATAAATTTCGATCAGTTGAACTATCGGGCATGTTTTATGCATGTTCTCAGCTTACTCGATTTTTCTCTGTACACCATACAATAGACTTTTGATTTCCGGCAAAGCACCATTGTATTAATTTGTATTAGTGCACCGATTTAAAATCCTACTTCGGCGAGAAAGCGATAAATGAGATGTCTTCTCATTATCTATTTTTTTAATTCTTTTTTTTTTTTTTGCGTGTTAAATGCTATTGCCGCTAATAAATATTCTTGACATCATCGAGTAAGACTCAGTTTTGCAAAAGATATTTTTTAAATAAATATAAATTAAAAATACCTGAATGACATCACTTCCGGTGTATGCTTCCAAAGAATAAGAAAATAAATAAATAAAAGACTTCATCTACTAATTCGTTTTTACAATTACTCTTCTGTACAATAGCGGGCTACTTAATGTAAAATAAACCGCATTCATTTTGGGGAAAATCTCGAGCCAAAATCAGTTATTTTTTAATCTCAATTTTTTAAAACAATTTAAAATAAGTTTAAGGTTGCGAGAGATTTGGAAATGAGATTTTGTCATTAAAGCTTTGATTATTTAACACGATTTATATATCTGACTGAATATATATATATATAATAAATGCAAATGTCACTGTGTCACACTTTTTCAACCTAGAGGCCGTATATTTTGCAGTCAGGCGGACTCAGTGAGCAAATTAAAACATTCCGGGTCGCAATGCTGAAATTTTTTATTCCAAAGTTTTCATTATTGTGATTGTTTTCGGCGATTTTTTTACGTTATTTTTTGTGACTAATTTTTGGTACGATAACAATTTTTAGAACTTGGAAATAAAATTGGGAATAATCGAGATTAATTGCGAAATCCAGCGAATGTCACCCACAAATTAAAAATAATTGTTTGTAGGGAAAGTAAGGACCTACGTGCATCAAACTGTCTTTAAATTAAGTGGCGACAGAGGGTAAGATTAAATATTAATGCAATACCTAAATGCAGCAATGAATTTTGAGTTGTACTTTAGTTTATTGTTGCTTATCGCATCTACTCCTGAATATATATATATATATATATATATATATATATATATATATATATATAACATGAATCATTCATACAAAACAGATTAGTGAAGTTAATGATATAAATGGTGAGAATACATCTTCGCAAACAAATTTATTAAAATTACATTAAACCACGAACCTCTAAATGAATGTTATGATCCCTATTCATCTAGAGGTTCGTGGGTTAATGTAATTTTAATAAATTTGTTTGCGAAGATGTATTCTCGCCATTTATATCATTAACTTCACTAATCTCTTCTTTGTATGAATGATTCATGTAATATAAATTGAACTACACCACATATTTTATACATACATATATATATTTTTTTTTCAGGAACATATATATACATATATGTATATATATACATATATGTATATATATACATATATGTAAGCAAATATGTGGATATAGATCCGACAGTATGAAGAAAAATATGGAAAAACAAAAATCCGAATATGTAAGTATGCTGTTTTAATAAATATGGCGACAAAGATGAGTGCAATAGTCCAAATAATGTAAATAATGTACATAATACCTCATCTCAGAAATATAGACAAATGCTGAAGCAATATGAAGTAATGAAAAACTTTCAATTATAAGAAATGGACGAAATAGAAATCAATTAGAAAGTGAATGTAAATCTGAAACAATACGAAATTTTATACAATTTTTTTGTGAAAATCAGACATTATTACAAAGGCATTCGTCATTGCTTATGGGTGTGTTGGGAGATTAATGGCTCCGTCTTTGTTGCATTTATTTTTGTACTAATACACTTGGGAAAATATGGATTCATCTCTTTTTTCTCCCATGTATGTGTTACAAAACAAGAGGGACTGGTCTCTCCAGCCGTGGTTGGTAAGAGGGAAAAATAACTTTGAATTCGAAACCGTATATAATCCTTGCGAAACATCCTATTTTCAGCCATGAAAAGATTATGGCGTTTATAGATAACTCAGTGGATGATTATGCTTACGGCCGCATCACATCGAAACACCGGTTCACGTGCGATCACCGAAGTTAATCATGTCAAGTCAGTACCTAGATGGGTGACTAGTTGGGGAATACCGGGTACTGTAAGCTTGGATGTGCGGCTGGTGTAATAGATAATGGCTTGGAATTGTTAATCGGAGAGCTGAGTTCCAATTTCCGTTGGGTCGTTATATTCATACGCGCGCAAATACCCTTGGGATAGGTATGAATCCAGCTCTTCTCCAGCTATAGGTATAGAAATAAGACTTGTATCACTAAAATTTTATTACTGCCCCCCCCACACACACACACAAAAGAGAATTCTTATAATCTAATTTTTTATAAATTTAAGCAACCTGTAAAGGGGGTGATAAACCGTAGAAAAACGAATTATGAATATGGATGCTATAATCTCGACTCTATGATGAGGTCAAAACTATTTTGATTATGACGTAGTTTTTACCGTTTGGACATAATTTCATCTGTTTGGTGGCTAAGGTACTTCCCGTTGGAATCAGAATTTTGTGTTTGAAACCAGATTAATATAAATCAAGATTTCCAATACTGATTTTTCCCTGCAGATAGGCACCATTTACATAGACGCTCAAGCTCCTCACGTCTTTCATCCACCCTCTCTTTTGTCCTCGTACCGTACTAAACTAAGGTTACCAAGTATCAAGTTTTTGTTTATAAATACTATGACAATGCTTGGTAAAAAAGAAGAAGCTTATCTCTCATGAGATATCATTCAGTTCTCTAACTTCTAAGATATCCCTAAGGGAAGATAACTAATGTCAAAGAAAAAAATGTTAAGCGTTATTTAATAGTGACAGAGCTTTCATCTATTTAAAGATAGGAAGATGGTTGACGGAGCTGGATTTGACTGTGTTTTTTTTTTCTTTTATCTCGTTAATGTCATTCTTTTTGTTTAATGATCTATTGAACGCGCCATCATTGAACATTTCGGCCAAATCTATCCGCCTGTCTGGCGCTCGAGGGTGATTGAAATTGAAAAATGAACAAATTTGAATTTCCCCCGGGGGACAGAAAAAAAAAATGTCCGTGTAGCTGTAAAACGTTTCAATTATTTAAATATATGAAAAGCGACATGAATAAAAAGAGAGTATATTTGGTGTGTGATGTGAGGAGGAGGGAGATGCGTATGAAAATGAAACGGATTTAACCAAAGAGGAATAAAAGAAAAAAAGAAAAAATAAAGAACTGAGTGAGTAAAAGGGGGAAATGTGTATGAGAGAGAGAGAGAGAGAGAGAGAGAGAGAGAGAGAGAGAGAGGAGGGGGAGAGGGAGCGGGAGAGAAAGAGTGTGCGTGTGCGTGTGCGTGTGTGTATGTGCAAAAGAGTGTGTGAGAGCGTGTGTGTCAGAGTGAATAGAGAAAACGAGACTGAGAGTAAGTTTTCATGAATTAGGAGAGAGACAAAGTGAGAATGTACGTGCGTGTATATGGCAAGTGAGTACATATCAAAGAAAGAGAGAAATAAAGAAAACGAAGGAGAAAAGAGAGAGGGTGATGAAGAATGAGAGAACAAAACGTTTTGCATTTCAGTAATTTCGAGTGAAATAGAGAGAGAAACAGAAAATGTTGTTTTTATTAATTATGAGAGAGAGAGAAAAAAAATATATATATATATATATATATATATATATATATATATATAGAGAGAGAGAAAGAGAGAGAAAGAGAGAGAGAAAGAGAGATTACAAGAAAGAGAATGAAATACATTTGTATTTGAAATCGAGAGAGACAGACAGTTACATTAATGGGCCAGAAAAAGACAAAGAATAAAAAGAAGCGTTCTTAGTACTGAGTGCATGTAATATTTCTTGTGAACAATCATTTTTCCACATTCCAGATTCTGTCAGTCAATCGGATAGTGATTCAAGACGATTCTTATATGCTAATGAAGGTAGTGAAATATGTGATTATATTGGAATGGCTGACGAGATATTTTCGTCGGCATGAATGATCCCAAGTGATTAACGAGTCAGAAAGGAGGAATTGACAAAAAGATTATCTTGGAGTAGATTTCAATATAACGAAATTTTGGAGTTTTAAACATAATGTGTTTTTTTTATTTTTTTATTTTACAATGATGTTCACCCTGGCAAAGGCTTGGGAGCCACTCGAAGTAGAGTAAGTAGCACCGTTATAGTAGATATGTGGGGAAGATAACGGTTAACTCTAGACATGAACCGGTTAAAATTGTTGTGATCTGGAACGCATTCTCTTAGGAGTCCGTTCCACAAAGCAGCGGTTCGTGGGAAGAAGCTGCGATGGAAGACGAAGGGAATGTGCGTGGCATGCTGAGTTTTAGCCGTGAAAGTTAAAACTAAGGAATATAGTTCGTCTGAGCAATTTCTATGGAAATAGCGAGGTTTTGTCTGTGAGAAAGGGTTTGTAGGTTGGAAAATAATTTGTCACCTACAGGGACATGGGGAGGCTTTTGGACTCTGTCGAGACTGGAAAGTGAAGACTGGGAAGCTCCTGTCCATACAAGGCAAGAGTTCTCCTTTTTTCGGCCTGATCTGACTCTTGTAAAGGTAGAGGATAGCAGGAGGCGTCAGGTACTTACTTACTAACAGGGAACCAACCATTTTTCAAGCATCTTTAGCAATGTACGAGTGACACGAGGACTGGGTTGAGTCCCAATAGACGTTCAAAATACGAAGTCTCCCCGAGGGAACATCCGTTCATCGTGATTGGTGATAGTTCTGAGTTCGTTCAGCGGTGTTCCTTCCTGACAAAAAAGACTGTTCTAGTTCCACGTGCCATGTCTAATGTTTTGTTTGCTTTCTTTAATTAACAATTGGTATTGCGCCTTGATTGGTATTGAGAAACCCAAGAGCCAAGTTCGAATTCCAGTCGAATTCTTTACATTCGCTGACCCTTTGACCCTTGGGAAAGGTATGAATCCACCTCTTCTACCCCCCCCCCCAGCTATGGGTAAATAGCAACACAGCCTTGGGCCGTAACTCCCATATAATGCTCATTTCTATGCTTGACCCACCGAGGAAGTTTTAAAATATAATATGTTTTGATGATTACTTACATTATTCTGGCTGTTATCCTCGTCTTCATTGCCATATTCACAACGTTTCGGCATTTGGATTCTCCAACCTTCTTCAGCTGATCGGAATTTCGAACCGAACCCTTGTCTTGTAAAAGGAAACGAATACTCGACCTTTCGTGGATATAGTTGTGTGCTTTCGATCAGTGTCAGGGATCAAGGTTCGAGCACAGGTAAAAGGCACAATCTGAAATGTTAATATTCAAATCAGTCATAACATCTTTCCATGAAATATTAACGGAAATCAATCTGCCTTAATCCGCATCAATTAAGCTCCGTTCTGTCATTAGTTAAAGTTTGTAACGATGAAGTAAAAAAAATCTGTTTCTTAGTTTAGGAGCAACAGTTTTATTCAGACAGTTGAACGCATCTCTTCTTAAAGGCCAACAACAACAATTAATTTGTTCCCTGCTACGCGATCAGTTGCTTGCTGTTTTAGGGGAACGTAATTGTTTCCAATCAACTTTTGCAAACATTATTCGTTTATATCTTGTTACACTATATGTCGGACTTCGAAAAGCGAAGCAAAGTATTAAGAAAAAGGAAAATTTAATTAAAGTTTCCATTTTCCTAAGAACTTTGTCGTTACTCGCATGCTCAACCCATGTTATTCTCAGCCTTCTTCTGCAGAACCAGATTTCTGTTGCGTCAAGTCTTTTCTTTATCTGGAATGAGATTGTTCAGCATTCACGGCCATATAGGATGATTGATATTACATAACAGTTCAATATTCTTAACTTTGTAATTAAATTTTTACCTTTTCTTAATACTCTACTTAGATTTTGGAGGGCCAAAAGATGACATGAAATGTTGCAATTTACAAGCATATACACGTGCGAAAAAGGCACACGCATTCAGATAATTACTGCTAAAACACAAACGTGTGGACAGAAACGCACACACACGAACAGAAGCAGAAGGAGAGGAAGCGAGGAAGAATGAAATAAGCACAGAGAGAGAAAGAGAGAGAGAGAAAGAGAAAGAGAGAGAGAGAGAAAGAGAAAGAGAGAGAGTGAAAAGCACACAGACAGAGAGACAGGGACAGAGAGAGACAGAGAGAGAGAGAAGCACATACACACAGATACAAAAAGATGCACAGAGAAAGAAACACAGAGAGTGAGAGAAGTACTGAAAGCGAGAGAAGCACAGAGAGAAGCACGCATAAATAGAGAGAAGCACACAGAAAGAGAGAGAAGCAGACAGAGACAGAGAGAGAAACACAGAGAAAAAGAAAGAAAGAGAGAGCGAAAGAGAGAGAGAGGGGAAGAGAGGGAGAAAAGCAATAGAAAAAAAAGGACGCTTATCCTAAGATTCAGAAAGAGACAGTTGACAGTTCTGTGGTACATAAAGAAAGAAGGTTTGAAGAATTTAACACTTACAGGACATATGGAAGGCAGGAGGGGCAGAAAAAAACACAGCGAGTAATATACTGAACAAACTTGGATGGCGGAACAGGGACCAGGAGGGATGGTGAAAAATAAACCTTATTAACAGCTGCAACGAACAGGAAGTCGTGGAGAGCCATAGCACATAGAAGAAGAATCTTTAGCACTATTCTTTAGATATGCTTTTACATTAATGAGATTATGGAACCTTTCATAAGCACTACTATTTAAATCCAGTGTGTTTTTTACACACGAAGTATTTTTTAAGTGGCGGAGCAAATCTATCCCAACAGTCGTATGCTAAAAGAAGAAAGAAAAGAAAAGAAAAACATTTTTGTTTGCTTACGTTAATTAACAATTGGTTTTGCTCCTCGATTGGTATTGAGAAACCAAAGAGCCAAGTTCGAATTCCAGCCGAATTCTTTACATTCACTGATGTGCTTAATACCCTTGGGAAAGGTATGAATCCACCTCTTCTACCCCCACCCCAGCTATGGGTAAATAGCAACACAAACTGGGTTCTATAGCCTTGGGCCGTAACCGGTATAGGAGAAGGAAAACTCTAAATTAAAACCAACCTGCAGAGGGTTGGGCTCTGCCAGGCTATCTTACCCAAGACACACCACTTCTACTGCAGTTGCAGTACATGTGGTGCCTCTATGGCTTTGATGAGTTAAGGGACTCGTGATTATGCTCGTGACTTTCAAAAGATATTTTTCTGGGATGGGGAGATATATATATAATTATTATAGTAAAAAAAATTATTATTTGGCAGTTAATCAAAATCATTTTTGTTGACTGAATCACTCAGTCAGTTATGTGCTATGCGTGATACACGCTTAGGCGATCATGTATCTTTAGATACATGACTGACATTTTTCCCGCAGTAGGTTGCCATTTCTTTCTGCGGTAGACCAGTACCATCCAAGGCTATAGAACTCAGTCTGTCCTGCTATTTACCCATAGCTGGAGGTGGGAGATAAGGATTCATACCTTTCCCAAGGGTATTAGCACGTAAGCCAATGTAATAGTTTCGACTGGAATTCGAACTCAGCTCTCTAATTTCTTAATCCGAGCCGCTATCCATTACTACACCGTATCATCATTTTCCGTGCCTGTGTTTTATCGCGATAGTTGTAGCTTTTTCTTTTAGCATTTGGATATTTCTAACTCTTTGATATAAAGCCCAGAATTTAATACTTCATCTTTTTTCTCTTGAAACGTACAAATGCTTCCTTTATGTTGTTTCACATATAAAAATGATTTCTGCAACAAAAGATTTTCATGGTGAATTATTTAAAGGCGCGTGTTTATTTAGTTTATATTCTTTTATGTTTGCACGTCTGCTGATCAACATAACTTTTAATTAAGTCCGAACTTTTCATTGTTTCTTAATGACATTTAATCAAACAGGAATCTGAAGAGCATTCTAGTAGGGAATGACAGATGACTTTGGTGCATTCGCTACTAGAAGGTCAGCGACTTTATACTAAATGGGATAAACTGGTTTTTGACTGCAGACGAATATGAACTAGAGAAATCATTATTATGTTGCATCCATTGTCAAAAAAGAATGGGAGGATAGATGTCGAAAGGAAACGAAGGAGAAATAAGGAAGAAGAGTGAAAGAGAAAAGAAAAACTAAATTTGAAAAAAAAAAATGGAGAAGGATAGATGTAGAGCGGAAGTGGACAAGAAAAAAGGAAGTAGAGAGGGAAAGAAAAGAAGAGATAAAATTTGAAAAAAGAAAGAGGATACATGTAGAGAGGAAGGGAAGGAGAAAGATGGAAGGAGAGAGTTGAGAAAAGAAGAGCTATAATTAAAAAAAGGAAGAGAGGAGGATAGATGTCGAAAGGAAACGAAGGAGAAATAAGAAAGAAGAGAGGAAAAGAAATAATTTTTAAAATGAGAGGAGGATAGAGGTAGAAAGGAAACGAAGCAGAACGCAAGAAGAAGAGAGGGAGAGAAAAGAAGAGCTAAAATTGAAAAAAAAAAGAGAGAGAAGGATAGATGGAGAGAGGAAGCGAAAGAGAATGATAGGAGAGTTGGGGGAGGAAATGAAGAGCTATAATTGAAAAAAGGAAGTGAGGAAGATAAATGTAGTGGAGAGACGATAGAGAATGATGGAAGGAGAGACGGTGTCAAATGAAAAACTAAAATTGAAAAAAAGGGGGATAGATGTAGAGAGGAAACCAATGAGAAAGAAGGAATGGGAGCGGGAGGGGAAAGAAAAGCTAAAATTGAAAAAAAAAAAACAAAACAAAACAAAAAAAAAGAAGACAAAAGGGAAAAAAAAATTCCAAAAATGTTAATCCGGAATAATTACGTGTTGTTTTTAGATGCTCGACAAAATTTAACAAAATCAAAGCAAAGCACAATTTTTTTTCAAAGCGATTCAAACGACGCCATCTTTTAATCTGAATTTCCTAATTATCAATCGATGATAAATATCCAGAACAAACGAAATGGAGCTTTTGAGGATACAAAGAGGAAGAGAAAAAGTAATAGAAAATTAAAAGATGAGTCAAGGGAAGAAAGAAAGTGAGATGAGAGCAAAGATGAAATTGGGGAGAAAAAGAAAGCAAAAGGAGAGAGAGAGAGAGAGAGAGAGAGAGAGAGAGAGAAGAATAACACTTTTGTTGATTAAATCCGTTTTAATCGGTGCTCAGGCACTCTATAGTTCTTTCAGAATTACAGATACGAGATTGGCAGCGGCAACACGAATTAAATTTGTTTTGTTCTTGACAACAATTTTATTAGGATGTCCAGACTTAGGCAGAGACCGTGTATTGAATACCATTGCCTCGAGTTTCGAATAACTGTTTTTGTTCTGCTCCAAGGCAAAGACAAGAGTTTCGCAGTTTGTTTTTGTTTTTTTTTGACAATTCCTTCCTTGTGTTTTTTGATATTATCTATGTACAAGCAAAGTCTGCAAATTGCAGAAACAAAATATAATTGTGTCATTTTCAACTGATATGAATATAGACTTTTTAAAGTTATATCCACGAGTTAATTGCCAGGTAAATAGATCGAATTTAAATTGATGTAAAGCGATGGCTAACAAGCTTAATATTCACACCATTAGACGCTGTCTAAATTTTTAGACTTGTGCCTGCTTTAGCTTAGTAAAATATTTAAGAGGATAGTTTGTATAATAGGTTTCCCGACAGAATATATTTGTAGCCTACTATTAAGGGTAGGGTAAAGTTCTTTTTTAATTGGTCTCCCTGTCTCCTCATATATATATATATATATATATATATATATATATATATATATATATATATATATTTCATGTTCTGTCTACTTGTTCTCATAACAATTTTGTCTTCAAAATAATGAACACAACAATGTTTGTCTTGCAATAAGCAATATTATGATGATGACATTGTGATATGTCGAAAATACTCGGAATAAAACAAATATGTATCAACACGATGATTTTCTCTCGTCCGTCAATAACGACATGAAAAAGCTTATCCGTGAATATGAAAGGATCCAATTGAATATAAGTAGAAAGAAAATGTCTAAATTATTCAACGAAACATATCTCAATGAAAACATGCTGCCAATATATATATATATATATATATATATATATATATATATATATATATATATGAGATGAAGAAATTGACAAAGTGGAAAAAGTTTACTTGTGACGCGTTTCGTCTTTCAGGACTTCATCGGACTAAATTTGTTATGTTGGTAGGACTACACATACGCATGACAGAGGGGTCATGGGAATTTTAGAATTTTTTTTTTATCTCGACGAATTCATTTACAGTGTTTTTCTTTTTCTTTCAATCACTTTTTCTAAGTATGTATTCCTCCTTGTGATAAGAGCCAGGGCGTAAATTTACTGTAGATGACCTTGCGATCAAGGCACACTCTAGACATTTACGTCGTAGTGAAATATTTTCTCCTTTGATCAGATTAGCATTTTTTTTATGTCTACATATCTAAAATCGAAAATAAACACAACATAAATGTTGTTACTACTACATCCAAAACAATAAAAGATTAATCAATCCTAAACAAAACAATAGGCTAAAACCCGAAGGAGGAGTTTACTCCATTGTCTTTAATAATTGTCACACAGAATACACAGGAGAAACCTCAAGGAATCTAAATAACAGAGTATATGAACACAAAAGGGACATTTTACAAAACAATACATCAAATGCGTTGGTTGCCCACAATAACGAGACTGACCACAACTTTGTCATAAAAAATGTAAATGTGTCACAAGTAAACTTTTTCATTTGTCAATTTCCCCATACACACACACACACACACATATATATATATATATGTGTGTGTGTGTGTGTGTGTGTGTGATTGTGGAATATATTTTTGATGGTACGTGGCTGAAATGACCTAATATTTCAAATGTATTTTAACACGTTGAAACAAAATTCATTGATAGTAAGTTGCCGTCCTTTGTTGAAAAGGCCACGCAGGATTTTTATTCGTCTTAGAGTGGCAGAGTACTATTGATATTATCAGCCCGAATTTGACGGGAATTGAAAGGGATTTTTGTTACATATTTCCATATTACACTTTCCCCAGAGATAACAGGTCAATCGTTCCGAGAAGAATTTTTTCAATTCCCAATATATGTATATTTTCCTTATTATTGACAGAGACACAATCTTTCAAGGGACAAGAGAATTGGCATACCATATTAGTCTTTTATAAAGTAGTGGAGAACTGTTAATAGTTTTGAATGTTCTGTAATGTATTATGAAGGGCAATTTTACATATCTCTATCTATAAAAGGCCGGATGTGTGTGTGTGTGTGTGTGTGTTTGTGTGTAACGCATGCACGGCCGCAATTTTCGACGGATTTGCACCAAAATTTACATGCACATGCTCCAAGTTAGCAGGAAGGCCAAGGCCGACTTTGCATTTCCCAACTCCCATCGATAGTGGAAATAATCGATTTTTTCATGCTTCTACGGCAGTTTTCATGTAGTTTGCGGCCATTTTCTACTGGCAGAGTGAGAGCCTATAGCTGGCTGCCAGTAATAGGTAGGAAGATTCTATCAGCCAGCGTGAGAGCCAACAGCTGACTGACACGAATGTTAACTAGCATGCTAGCATGCAAAAAAAAAAAAAACGATAGCTGCATTCGTCACAAGTGGGAAAAATTTAAATCTGCACGGCACTTTACTCCAATTGGATCATTCGCTTGCTTAAACTCAACGTTGATTCTGATTCCGCAGAACTGGGATGGGTGTGAAAAAGTATCTGTTGTTAACATTCTTTTTTCATTCGGTTTTTCCAGTTACGTGTCCTTTTTTTAAAGCTGATCGTTTTGTGTTCATTTTGTTTAGTTCTTTTTTCGTAACAGATTTAATGTTTAGTATAGAGCTTAGAAAATATTCGAAGTGTGAGATAGGCAAGAAGTAAGGCATGTAGCAGTATCAGCACGGAAAGAGCACCCCTTTAAAGGCAAGTAATGGCAAAAATATTTTAAGTCAAGTGATAGCGATTGCTGTATGAGTCGTACGATTTTTTAATCAAGCACGGGCAACGCCGGGCCATGCTGCTAGTGGATTATATTTTTATTGCTTTTTAATCTGTTATACAACGGGAGTACGTCTGTTTATAAGCTAAATAAGTTATTTTTTATTTGGTTTAAATCGTCTAATGTCATGTTAACCACATGACACAAAAATCTATTCCTCAGTAAAGACATGTGATTTCTCGTTCATTTCTAACTTTGTAGCGTTAATAACATAAACGCTACCCTACTTAGGTTTTATCTTCTTGAACACTATCAACGATGGTCGAAAGTACTCGGAAAAATATTTTTATGTATGTATACATATATTGGATGTCGGGTTCATTATATTCATTACGCGCAAATACTCTTGGGTAAGAATCCATCTCTTCTACCCCCAGCTATAGGTTGAATAGCAGGAACGACTGGGTCCTATAACCTTGGTTGGCAACCATTTTACCGCACAAAAAACAGCAACCTATTCCGTGGAAATCTCCGCCTAGTTAGTCTTGAATCGAAAGGAACATGATCGGCCAGTCGTGTATCACGTATGACACTTAAGTGACTGTTATATTGGGTCATAATGAAATTCGTAGTTCAAATACATAATTTCACATAGATTTATTCAGCCACAGACTTGCCATTTTGTTCCATTTGAGTCAGATCCATAATTCCATCCTCCTAAAACTTGGCATCTTTCTGAGCGATGAATTGATCTAAGTGGTTTTTACAGGATCCCAGTTTTTATTCCCATTAAGAGAATTTTGTATTGATCAAAATAAGTGATAATCCGATGGTGCAAGTTCACGTGAATACGACAGTTGTGATAGGACATCCCAGTTAATCTCTGTCAATTTCTATCGGGTTTGGAAATAGATATGAAGTATGGCGTAGTTGAGTCAATGTTATTTCTCTCTGTTTCCATTCATAATATCCATTAAATAATTTCAAGCTGGTTAATCTCATTTTCTTTTTCGCCGTTAAATTTTACTAAAATTATATTTGTGGCATTTTTAAAGTCATTTTTTGCTCTTATGTTGTCAATGTTTTCACATCAGGCAAACGACACCATTTGTTGAAAGTATACAAACTGCTTCTTAAACCAATTCTGGTCAACTTGAATAACCGATAACAGTGTGTATTAGCCTTCTGAAATAACCCATTGTTGTCGAGGTACATGGATTTCCTGAACGAATGCAAATCGTCACAAAGCAGTGCAACGTAGCAGTCACTGATCAATGATATGTTTAGGCGGACCAGCCAACCCAACTCATGCCGCGTAAACACACACACCACACTATTACAGAACCGCTACCAGCCTCGACCGCACATTGTTGATAATTTTTCATAGAATCTGTGCCAAAAACAACAGAAATCGTAACTCATCACACGTTGTCAGTCCCCTAGAGTCCAGTTAGTGATGGTACAAGCCTAGGAGGTGTTGTGTCCGGTGTCATGGTGTTAACAGAAGCATCTTGGTGGGCCTTCTGCTCTCATTTCTCACGGGAGTTAAAGAATGCTGAATGAACCGATTGGATATGAGTTTGTTACCTGCTTCTGTCACAATTATTAAGGGCTCATTAGACAACAGGGCACAACTGGACATATAGAAATGTCCAAGGTACAGTGATGTCACTTACCGTTACCTTTACAAATCTCAAGAACTTTTGGAACGTCACTGTTTGTATATATATATATATATATATATATATATATATGAAAATATGTAGAAAATAGGAAAGAACTCGTTAGGTAAATATTATTATATTTAAAAATATTATTATTTTTAAAAAACACTGCTCGATACAAAAGTAGAGCGTAAATATAATTATTTATTTAAAAATATGATTCCATCGCTACATAAGAGTTCTCATGTTTCAAAACAAGAGCCGAAAACTTCAATATAATTATTTGAATTAAATTGAATTAAAGTACCAAGCTCTGTTCCATCTTCAAGCGAATTTTTTTTTATTCCCCAAAATTCCAAATAATTCAAATAATTATATTGAAGTTTTAGGCTCTTGTTTTGAAACATGAGAACTCTTATGTAGCGATGGAATCATATTTTTAAATAAATAATTATATATATATATATATATATATATATGTGTGTGTGTGTGTGTGTGTGTGTGTGTGTGTGTGTGTGTGTGTGTGTGTGTGTGTGTGTGTGCCGCGAAAGAGAAAGAGAGCAAGAGAGAGGGGATTCAGTGAGAGAAAGAAAGTCGGAGAAAGTGAGAGACAGAGACGTCGGGGTAGACAGATAATTGTTGAGGGTTAGAAATATATTAAAGACAGGAAGGGAGAGTATTTGTAGGGAAGCATTTCACTGACGTCACCGATTTATCCAAATGCTAACCTTGATATCTGATTTCTCTCTTCTAATTGGCGCGTTGTCCCAAGGGCAAGAAACAAAAAGCTGACGATTATAATTCTCACGAGTTTTCGCAAGATCCATTCTAAATATTTGATCAAATTTTATCACCTGCCGATTCCCTAGCCGCGGGAATGTGGCTTCTGGCATAAATAATTCATTTGAAGTATTTTGTCGGTGGGTAAATTTGTGCGTTGTCAGAAAGAAAATTCTTTTGACTACTGAGGAATGAAAGTAAGAAAAATGGTAGCCTAGAAATGAACAAAAAAGTAATTTTAGACAATGCAGGCGAAATATATGAAGAGGAAAAAATGACAACTCATAAAGCATGCTACATGTTAGGAAAGTGCAATTCTTATTGATTAGCAGAGAAGCATTATTATTTTGTGTGTCCCTTCAGGATGTGGACAATCATGACTCTCCACAATGTCCTGTCCTTTGTAGCTCTTAGTAATATTTGTATTTTTGCTATCCCTCCTAATTTTTGTTTTGTTATCCATTTACACAAGCACGTTAATTAATTACTGCTTTCCTTTGTTCATCTTGACTTTAGTATGTCCTGTGAGTGTCATATTCTCCAAACCCCCTTTCCTTATTACCCACTCTTCCCTGTTTTGTCATTCATTTACACAAACTCGTTCACTATGTTAATAACTTATTTCCTCTGTTGCCTTCAATATGTCTTGTGCGTCTCAAATTCTCTAAGTCTACTTTCCTTATTTATACTACACATTTTTGTCATCCATTTACACAAGCTGGTTAATTAGGTTAATTAATGCTTTCCTCTGTCTCTCTTGCCT